GCTCCCCCCACCAGACTAGCGACCGATTTCTCAACAGAAACACATCAGGCAAGAAGGGAATGGAATGAAATATACAAAGTCATGCAAAGGAAGGGTCTGAATCCAAGAATACTGTACCCAGCAAGGCTATCAATCAAAATTGAGGGTCAAATCAGGAGCTTCACAGACAAAAACGGTCTACGGGAGTTTATTACAGCCAAACCAGCAATGCAAGAAATGCTTAAGGGTCTGCTGTAAATATGAAAAACAGGAAACAAAGAAGGAACGCCACGCCTCACCTGGCGATGTCCAGGTACCCGCAGGAGGCGGCCACGTGCAGCGGCGTCCAGCCCTCGTTGTCCGCCTGGTTCACCGTGGCGCCCTGCTCCACCAGGAAGCGCACCACCTCCAGGTTCTCGTCGATACAGGCCTGGGGGCGGGGGCGGGGGAACCCCCCGGCCGGAATCCTGGCTGGTGCTTGTCGTCTGACGGGACAGGACCTGCCCCCAGTCCCCAGGGTCCCCAGGGTCCCCAGTCCCCTCCCCAGTCTGCACCCACAGGACGGGGCTGCAGGGAGGGACTGAGGGAAGGGGCCTGGTAGCCCCAGGCCCAGCAAGTGCTCTTCAGGGGCTGCCCTGAGGGAAGACCACAGGCCCCTGCAGCCCATGGCAGGTCCCAGGTCCCTGGAGCACAGGGTGGAGTGGGGCCGGGGCAGGACTGCGGGTGGGAGAGGCGTCAGCGTGTGCCGGGCCTGGGGCCAAGGAGCCGCAGCTCACGAGCACTGAGGACCAGTCACTGCGACGGGCGCCGACCCCTGTTCTGTGTGTGGTTTTAATATATTTTTATTGATTTCAGAGAGGAAGGGAGAGGGAGAGACAGAAACATCAGTGATGAGAGAGGATCACTGATCGCTGCCTCCTGCACGCCCCACACTGGGAATCGAGCCCGCATCCTGGGCCTGTGCCCTGACCGGGAATGGAACCGTGACCTCCTGGTTCATAGGTCGATACTCAACCACTGGGCCACCCCGGCCGGGCAGGATGCTGTCTTATGAAGGAAGAAGCAGAGCTCCAGAGACGAAGCCCCAGGCGCACGCAGACGCCGGGTGGGCCTAGGGCGGCCGTGGACCTGGCCTCCCGGGGCCGCGGGGTGAGTCGAGCCCCCGGCCCCCCACCTCTCCCAAGCTGCCCACCGGGAGAGGGGGAGGCAGCTGCAAGGGCCAAGAGCATGAAGTCATGGAAACTCAGGCTGTGCGAGGGGGGCCACACGTGCCCTGGGAACGGGATGAACTCTGGGCTCCGTTTATTTCCACCCGGTCGCCATGGCGATGGCGGAGGGGGGCCCGGAGGGAGATGGGCCTTTCCCTTTCAAGGGCCTGGCCGGGCACAGGCATCCCGTGTGAAAGATGCCTGAGGCCTGGGCACCAGGGACCCAGGAATCCAGGCCCCGGCCCCGCCCCCCTCACACCCCAGGGACCAGGTCCCCGCACCTCCCCTGTTCAGACCACAGAACCCTGGCTCCCAGTCCCTCCGACCCATCCAGAGCCCTAGCCAGGGATTCACAAGGCGATTTTGGGGAGGAGGAGAGCGTGTACCAGGCTGCGTCTCCAGAACTCCTGGGGACACAGGCAGGGCAGGGGGCGGGTGGCTGAGCGCCCGCTGGGGAGGACTCACAACAGAATCCGCAGCCCAGGGCTCCCCAGACGGGAGCAGCCATCCCCGTCTGCCCGGGACTGGGGGCTTCCGGGGCCCTGGGACCTTCAGTGGGAAAACCAGGCCCGCCTCAGGCAAACCAGCACCACCTGGTCCCCCCAGACCCAGACCCGATGCACACCCAGCTCTCGGTGGCCGTGACCTGAGACAGGACCTACTCCCCCCTGAGCCTGGGACCCCCTAACCCTCAGGCGTCCTGAGCCCCTGGCAGAGTCTACCCAGTGAGGCCTGCAGCGGGAGAGACCCCACCTGGAAGACAGCCTGCTGGGCGAGTGGCCTTTGCAGGGGCCAGGCCACGGGGGCTGCTGGGCATCAGGGCTCGGCCAGAAGAGCAGGGCCAGGAGCCCCTGGGGAAGGTCCAGGGGACGCTGAAGCCTGGCCACCCTCTCCCCGCCGGCCCTACATGGCCCCATGCAAGCGGACCCTCCTCTGGTGGGGGACCCTCCCAGGTGGCACTAGGGTCTCTGCAGGGGACAAGCCTGGGGGTGGAGGGAGGAATGGGGGAGTAGCACTTAGACCAAGGACAGCGACGCCCTGCTGACCAGCTTGGCTGCTTCCCAAAGGGAGTTACACACACACACACACACACACACACCCCTCATGTCACACACACACACACACACACACACACACACACACACACACACGGCCTCCCTCCTTCACCGGCCCTGCCAAGGCAGGCTCCACGACTGGCCCCATTTTACAGATAAGACAACTGAGGCCCAGAGAGAAAAGGCACTGCCTGGAGGTCCCGGCTGTGAGGAGCTGAGATTGGAGCTCAGGGCTACCGTGTGTCCCTGACCGGCTCCCCTTCCTGACAAGCGGACTGTGCAGGCACTGCCCCCCTGGCCCTGCCCACCTTCCCTTCCTCTCCCAGGGGTCCTGGCAGGAGGAAGGGGCTGGGCCTGGATCGATCACTAGGAGACCAGGAGGGAGAAGGCCTCCGGGACAGGGAGGGGATGGAGGCGGTCCCACTGTGTGTGGGTGGGGGAGGGGGGAGACATAAAATCACCCAGAACCAGGGAGCACCCTGGGGCATAAGCGCCCTGGTCCTGGGACTCAGGCACCCAGGGTGTCTTGGAAAAGCACAGGGGCCCGGCCGGCGGGGCTCCGTGGTTGAGCGTCGTCGACCCATGAACCAGGAGGTCACAGTTTGACTCCCGGGCAGGGCACACGCCCGGGATGTGGGCTCGGTCCTCAGTGTGGAGGGGAGTGGGGGGTGCAGGAGGCAGCCGCTCAACTACCGATTCTCTCTCACCATGGACGTTTCCGTCTCTCCTTCCTCTCTGAAATAAAAATATATTAAAAAAGAAAAGAAAAGAAACGCACACGGGCCCAGGTTGTGCAGGGAGTGGACCATCGCGGTTCTCAACCCCCACCCCCACCCCCCGCCCAAGGCGACAGGGCAGACGGCCAGGCGATGGCACGGCCTGTGGCAGGGAGAAGCTGGCCAAACCCACAGGAGGAGAGGGTGTCTGGGCTGAGAGAGCAGGACAGCCAGAGGATGGAGGGGTGGCCCGGCGCCAGGAAGGGGTGGGGTGGGTGCTGAGAGGGTGCCCAGCAAGAAAGGTGCCGGTGCAGACCCAGCC